TATCAAAAGTGTAGGATGGATCAACAAAGATACTTTGGATTACTGTCAGAAAATATCTCTGGATCTGCTCCTGTTATTGAGCATGTTACCTGTTGTGCATGATTAAAAATCAGTGTTAACTGACTGTGCTATTATAAGCATTATTTATTATTGAATCAAAATTGACAAAATGACCTATTTTGCATCTTTATTTTCTGTTTTTTGTCTGTACATTTGACAGCTTTGCTGCCTTGTTTAATTAATTAATTTTTTATTTATTTATTTTATTTATTTATTTATTTTTTTTGTCAAAATGGAGTATATCTAGCATTTAACTAAAATTTGTCAGTTTAGTTTGTTAGCTATTTGGTTCATTTAATAAAATGATAGTTTTCTTAAGCAAGTATTATTATTGAGCACAACACAAGTTAAATCTTTTTCTTAAATGTGAAATAATAAACTTGATCTTGCACTAATTTCAGGTTTGATCATTGATGCCTTTGGTGAGTTGAGAGACCAGTTGGAACAGGTTAAGGAAGATATGGAGGTACGTAAGCACTGGTGATTGTATTGCATGTGTAGGCTGCTCAAGGCTAAACTGTGGGGCAGAATGCAATAAAAATATTTTTATTTATGAGTTAAATTATACAGGAATATTACATTTTTGTAATACATTAAGGCCTAATTCACATTAGCTCAAAATACATTATAGGCAGCCAGGCTATTTGAGAAGGATTGGGAAGTACACTATTAAAATGCAACAAGTGACCCCTTGAAAAAATAAATGAGCATAATTCATAAATGAGTTAAATTTCTCCTTCCAGTCCAAGTGCTTCATATGTGGGATTGGTAAAGAATACTTTGACAAGGTGCCCCATGGTTTTGAACAGCATGTCATGAATGAGCATAACTTTGCCAACTATATGTGAGTAAATTCTTTTTCTTTCTTTTAATTTTATTGTAAATTATCTTTAGATTGTTTTTAATAATTGAAATTACATTTAGATAACCAATTTATTTATTTATCAAACAAATTGTTTCTTTTTCTCATTTTAATATTTCGTGTGTTTTCCAGTTTAAAAAAAAACTTTCATGGCAGTACAATTTCCTTCTAATACATAAAATTTTTAAATTATCAAAACACTTGTTTTGCTTTTACTTGATCTAAATTAAAAAACTTTCTCCTTACAGGTTCTTCCTGATGCACTTGATCAATAAACCTGATACAGAATACACTGGCCAGGTGGGGTTGTAGTGGCAGAATAGGGTCTTTTATGGAAATCTTTATCTACACACACACACACACACACACACACACACACACAGTTTTAAGTTGAAAAGGCTAGAGCAAATCTGTGAGCTGATTAATTAAACAAAGTGAGAAAGAGAGAGAGAGAGAAATGAAATCAAAATAGCTTGTAGAAAAGAATACAGTAAGGCTCTAATATGGTTTTGTTGTTATATATAAGAAATGGCTTTCAAAATAGTTATTATTATTATTATTATTATTATTATTATTATTATTATTATTATTATTATTATTATAGGAGTCCTATGTGTGGGAGCTGTATAACCAGAGATGTTGGGACTTCTTCCCTGTTGGTGACTGCTTCAGGAAACAGTACGAGGATGAACCCCAAGGAAGCTGATGACAAACAAAATTTAATGAGATTGATGAGTTTTTAAAACATATGGGCATATCAATCTTGAGGATGAAACAAGTTTCCTCATATTGATGGATTTTGATTTGTAAAATGCATCTTTCACATTGTCACAAGCACTTGACATGTGATTGGGGCAACTAAAAAGTTTTTTTCAGTCATCACAGAAATTCAAGGATATCAACACATGCAGGCGTGAACTTGGACCCAAGAGGGATTAAAAAACGAAAAAAAAAAAAGAGCAAGACTTTAGCACATTAAACAGTTCAATGTCAATTATCATGTATGGATTAATATTTTAGCATTACATGAGCTGTCTAGAAAAGTGATGATCCCTGCAATTTAATGAAGTGCAATGGTGTATAGAAGCAACATTTTGATTGATGTGTATAGCCTTGTTATTGACTTTGTTCAGACTGAAACCAGTCTACCATTTCTACTTGGATTTCTAGAATTGTGTAGGTGCTGGAAAATGCTCATTTCCTTCTTCTAGTGACGGGGATGATGATCCAAGCTAATTTTAAAGTGATGAAAATTACTATTGGAACATTTATTTAATTTGAATTACGAAAAGCAGAGGGAAAAGTGAAGTTTACTCGCATACATTTTTTTTTTTTTTTGTTATCAGATGCATGTAATATGCATATGACTCCCTAGCATATTACTAGACCTGAGATTGTGAAAACTTTGCCCTTATTAACTGAATAATTTAATATCACCCTAAGAGTAGATTTTAAAAAAAACTTATTTTCAAGTTTAGGTTATGAACTGGAGATGTTTTGCTTTACATCCTGTTGCCCGTCACAAATTTCTTATAGACATTTGCAGTGATCTTTTACAAGTATTTATTTTATATAAAGCGCACTGTGAGAGAATGATGTAGACTTGTGATACACATTTTACGCATCGTATTTATAACCAGTATACAATGATGTAGGGTTACATGTAATGACAGACACACTACAGCTAATTGTTGTCACAAGTTCTTTTTTATAGTTTGCAGTTTGTAAAGAGAAGTAGACATTTCATTTTTTTTTCTAATTAACTTTCTGTAGACATGATACGAATCTCTACCAAGCTGTTCCGGACAGTCCAGCTATTCCAGGGGGTTGCAATACTTTGTACATAACTGTATGGTCATTTTAACAGTGGTTGAATTTGTTGTGCTCGGCCATCGGTGCTCCAATAATGTTTGCCTCTTTCTTTTTTGGCAGTTTTCTCCTCTCATTTGAATATAGAACTCACAAAGACAGGGTTGTTTGATGCTGCACATTCTGTACATTTTACTTTGTTGTTCTGCTCATATAATTAGTATTATAGCAATGTCTTCCAAATTTGCTCCACCCAACGAAAAATTAATTGTACAGACTTTTATCTTGGAATTGTCTTCACTTGACAAGTGGCCCTGTTAAAGTGTGAGGCAACCCAAGGTGACGGGTCTTGGTAGTTTTATGTCATTGGGACTGTTTTTTGCTTATTGAAAAAAAATTTGGTAATAAAATGACTAATTTTTGACACAATTCTGCTTGGTTTCAATTCACTGCTCTGTACTTTAGGGAGCAGTTGCACCGACAGGACATAATTAACGCCATCACAGTTACACCAGTTACTCCATCGTAAAGACTTGTTTTAGTCTAAACTCAGTCATGAATATACATGTACTACACAGGTAGTCTATGTCACATTTTCCAAAATGGCTTTGCTGGTACACAGAGGTGGATTAAAATTATCAACAAGCCTAGACAGGAAGGGGTCATCATACAGAGGGTTAGGCTTTTCAATATTTATGACGATGTCAAGCCAATACAAATGCGTTAGAATGAATCTCTGCATGATGCCAGAGAACTATTTGTTGACAAATTTTATTTATTATCATTATTTTGTGTGTGTGTGTGTGTGTGTGTGTGCATGAGATACCTTTAACATAAATTTACATTTTGCTCCAATCACAGTGCAAGGTCCATAAAACAGAGGGGCTGCCTTATTTTCTCAAAGTTAAAAACACTGAGATAACAGCATATATACTATTTGTAAGTTACAATAAGGCATGGTGGTGACATATTGGTCACCTGCTTTTCACATTTTTTTTTAAGTTAAGGGAATTGTGAAATAATCTACGCAAAAATAAGGACATTCATGCTCAGCACCTGGGCTATACACATTTTGGGCACACTTGAGACAAAAAAGAGACATTACTCTGTGCACTTTTTTAGTGCACTTCTCATATTCAGATACAAAAGAGACAAGTTGGTTATTATTTGCCTACCTACTCAAATGTGCTTCCAGTTTGGGAATTCACTTAAAATATTCTTTCATTTAGACCCCATTCCCAGAGATTAGATCGATCTACTTTAGATCGACCTAACTCCCTGGGAGTTCACACTAGATAGCTGTCAGCCGAGCGGGCACGAAAGTTAATTACCCCCTTACAGCTTGTAGTAGGGGGGACGGACATTTAAGCCGGATTATCTGACAGTAATCTAGTGAGACTCCCCGCGGGGATAGATTGATCTAAAAGCTCTGGGAATACGCCCTTGGAGACCACATTTGTTAACAAGTTGAAAGACAAATACCACAAGTTTATTGCATTTCTTTACAGTTATGCTCACACTCAACTCTCTAATGTTTGCAGTGTACCTTGAAGCAAAGACCCAAATTGTCCAGTTAAATATAGAATTTAGCAATTCATTGATTCATTGAAAGAGAATTGTGCAAGATGGCATCGGTTGCCAACACTTTCTAAACATTTATTTCTGGAATTTGAAAAAGAGGAATTTCACCAAAGGTCATAGCTTAAATTATGTGTATGTATCTAGATATCACAAACTCAACACAAAAACAATGAGGATGCAATTAAAAAGTTTGGGCTGCAATGAATGATTTCCAAGTCCAACTAAGCATTTAATGTACGTGATCTTGTAAGATCAGTAGCTAGTGGTTGACAACCAGTACATGGTGAAGATAAACGTCTTGGATAAAAATTTCTATTCTTACATTTGAAAACATAAACAGCTTGAAAGAAGAAACATATCAGTTGCTTCTCAAGTTGAAGTATTATTGGGCATGATTGTTTTGTTCAAGATGGTCTGTCTCATTGTTCGTTGCACCAGGTACTGGGCACGTTTCCCCACTGTGCCTGGATCACAGCCACTTTAAAAGAACAGTTCAACGATATGACTTCTCTAAGCACTTGGCCCTAACAGCTTCTTCTGTAATCTCAGAGGAATCACTTGCTTGAATATAAACCTTGATTCCATCGAGTTTAGCCTTTATAGCTTCTTTGCTAGATGCATATAACATCTTCTGTTTAACTTTGATACCATCTGGAACCCTAGAAAAAAATTACAAACCAATTGAATATTTGTAGAAAAAAAATAATAAAAGCAAAAACATTTTATATCAAAATTACTTTGCAGTGCTAAAATCATAAATTGATAAGAAAGCAACAGTCAGGTTTAACTTGAAACTTGGTTCTTGTAACTAGTATAAACAATGGGTGAAAATCCAATAAAAGTGCAAAGATAAAAATTCTGTCTTTCTACCAAGTAAACTTATATAAAAACAAGGCAGCAAAGCTGTGAAATGAACAGACAAAGTAGAAAATAATGTACAAAATAAGGTATTTGGTCAACGGAGTACACCAGCTCCAGAGACCTACTCAAGTTTCACGTAATCCCCCTTGTGATTTCACACAATACATAGAGCCCAAAAGCAGTATTTATTTACTAAACAAACTTACAATTTAATATTTTTAAGTAAATGGATATACTAATTTTCTTTACCAGAGCCCAAAATTAGCATTTATTTGCTGTACATTTTGTTTTGTAGATCATTGGGTCAGACAAGGGGGTACACCCACTGTCAGTTTTGATACAATATTACATAATGCTTAAAGGGGGCAGGGGGGTGTAACACAGGCCTGTGCCATGTATAATACAGCCTATATCTTACTTCGGTTCATCGGTCCTGTAAGTTTGACAACATAACCAGATGTTTTGAACATTGACAGTCACCACATAGATCACAATAAATATATATAGTCTGCTTACCATGCAATGAAAACTATTTTTACTGCATTGTCACCACAATCGAAGTCAAAGACAGCATATCTTCCCTCCCCTGGTTTTTCTTGTAACTTTTTTAAAAAGTCGTCGTAATGCTCCTCTGGAATGAAACAAAACAAGTAATATAAATAAGTATTATTACATTATACACTATGTTATAAGTATTATTATAAGTTATATAAGTTTTAAAATATTTCCATTTTCTCAAAACATTAAGCCACTAATAAGGTAAGATCTTTTAGGAACCTTAACACATTTTATTACATTTTTTGTCATAACAATTGCTTTATCACAAAAACAAAAACAAAAAAATCACGTTTTACCTTGTGACTTATCTGCACCTGAAATGAAAAAAAAAACATATATACATAATATATAATATTAAATGTTGACATGACATATATATTTTGTCCTCATTGATTGTATGTGAAAACAGCACTTTTCAATGGGTGAAAATACATACTTTTTAAAAATCAAACTAATGATAACCTGGGCAAGAAAGAAGTTAATAGAAAAAAGTTGGTTAAAAAAACTAGATATTGAAGAAAGCCTATATACAGGCATTAAACGTTTAAAAGTTCAAAGAAATAGGTTTGGTGACAGCTAGAACAGATGGATGATGAAAGAGTTCTAACAATCTTTTAATTTTTTCAACAGTTCATTGAACACTAAAAACTTTCATACCCTTATAGTTTATATGCCACAACCCTATGCATTGACAAAAAATTAGATTTCACACAGGATTACACAACATCACAAAATGTACCAAAACTAAGGTAAAATTTAACCAACCACACCAATTTTGCTTTTTTACCTAAACAAAGCAAATCTGAAAACAAATATGAGGTTAGTTACTTACAGGGCCATGGTCTTCAAATACATGCAAATAATAGTTACGAGGAAAGCGCTAACACTTGCCAATTTAGCCAAATGCTAAAACTGACTAAGGGACCATTCCCACAGATATTTGGATCGATCCGTCTCCCTGGGGAGTCTCACTAAATTGCTATCAAACTAACCGGCTTAAACGTCTGTCATGCCTAGTTAAACTGTTAGGGGGTATTTATCTTTACCCCTAGCTGATTCAGTAGGCGTGACAGACATTTATGCCTCTTGAGCTGATAGCAATTTAGTGTGAACCACCAGGGAGTTTGGTTGATCCAGATGGATCGACCTAAGTATGGGAACCCAGTCTTAAATTGGCTAAATAAAATAGGGTTGGTTTGACCTGTTTTAGTCCAATTTCAACCATTGTGGAGAAAAAAGAGGGGGAAAAGTTGCAATTTGGCTAAGCGAAATAAAATTGCACAGAGTAAAATTAAGGAAATTGTCTTTTAGAAATACCAGAGTACGTCATACTGGATTGCACACTTACTTGGCTCTGCACAATCCACATAAATAACATCATCTTTTCCTCCTTCTGGGGTACCAATTTTGAAGATTATGTACTTTAATTCATGCTTTTTCTGCAACTTTTCATACTGCTCTAGTACATTTGGCAGTATCTTTATACCCGACATGGAAGACTGGAAACAAAAAATAAATAACTAAGAGCAAAATTCTCCCCCTCAAGCTCTTCCCTCACACACTCAGAAAACCAAGCTCTCACACAACTATCCTGGAAATTTTGATTTACGTATCATTCGATTAATCTTGAACACAAAACACCTTTGTTTTATCAAATGCATTTATTCCAATGCAAATCTTAATATAATGTCACAAAGAAGAAAAAAAAGACCTATACCCCTTCCCCCTGTAAAGCCTTTCGTGTCTATTAGAAATACCAATATGTACACCTTACTATGTGTGACCTTGCAGCACTGCCCACATTAAGAAACAGAGCTTCCCTTGGACATCGTGCAATACTATTAAAAGATCCGTGTGCTACAGAATTTGTTTCTGTAAAGGTGTGGTAACCCACAAGGAATATCACTGTAAAGTGAATGTCCCAAAGGGCTGCAGACATCTGTTCATTTTCTTCAAGGATCAACCCGTCTAGTCATCTTTTAATATAATTAGACAAAAAAGTCAAAACTGGGGTTATCTTAATTTTTTCCTGAACTTAATTAATTGCCTAAATTAGAAAAAAAAACTTTCTTTGCCAGAAGCTTGTTTGGTAACAATATATGTAAAAATCAGATTCCTGATGGGCACAAATTTATCTGACATCTCTTTTTCTCTTATGAAGGTTAAATATTTTTTCCTGAATTGGGCAAGTTGCGGGTTTTTTTTACTTGAGAATCATTACAACTGGAGCATTTAGTGCAGGTGGTTTACTGACCATACTCTGCTATTTTCATGCCTAAGAAAGCATGTAAAATGACATCAAAATAAGTCAAAAACAATTTTGAGCTTAACATCAAACTGAACATATCTGAGTTTCCCAAAATATTAATGTTGCCCAAGACATTTTGAAAGGCACAGCTGCAAGCTAACTCAAATAGTGTCAGAATATGAATGACATTATGACTATTTTAAATATAATATGAACAAGACATCTTATCAACAATAAGCAAAATGGGTACAAGTGAAAACATTAATTTCTTTTGATAAAATGGACAAGTTTCAAATACAAAAGTCAACATGAATTCAAGGCCACATAGTGGACATTAAGGAACATTACCAAATGCAATGAAAACATTTTCTAACCATCAATTATTAAATTCTACACAAAAGCCTGTTACTTTAAAAATTCATCACCTGAATGGGATCAAGCATATTGGTATCATGAAGATGTAGCATATTAAGTAATACCGGCATGAAAAGCAACTCTATAATTAGTTTACTTTTCGGGTTCTTTTTAGTTAACCCCCCTTCTTCCCAACTTCCCACATTTTTAACATTATCAGTACATAAATTACCCTCACAAGTTTTCTATAGTCTTATAAAATTAAGGTCAGTCACACTTTTTAACAAGTACAAATACAGTAAGTCATATTATGTTACATACATTACCAGCTGCTGTTGTTATAAGGAAGCTTTAAAACAACTTCAGAACTTTCTCTGAAGACATTTGTACCCTTCTTAATATCAGTGTCTATTTCATTGGCAAAGTAGTAGATCTGACATGTGAAAATAACATGGTTGAGCATCTGTTCTATATGCTTTTTTTTTCAGAGAAACTGCCCTGATAAATTTGCTTTATGAAGCAATGTCCTACAAGTCACATATGATTTGGCAGGACAATATAGATAGAAAAACTTGTTCAAGTCATTTAGTTCAAACTTCTTAAAAGCAAATACTGATGAGACTGGGCATCAGAATCTCATGTTTTCTTTGCATTTTTCTAAAATACAATCTTCGCCAATTTCATCCCGATCTGTTGCCTGAAGATCTTTGGCTATGCCTGTCAGTTTCCCTCGGATTTCTCTTTTACTGCTGGCGTACAACATTTTTTGTTTAATACTAGCTCCATTTGGGATCCTGAAAAAAGATGAAAGAAGAATCATTTACATACCGAGTCTCAAAGTAGGAGAACAGGTAACCACAATACCAGCATCGCCTTTTTTCAAATGCTGTTAAACCTTTTGAAAATGGATTACCAACCCTATTCAAAATTTATATTTTCAAGAAGTTGAATGTACACTTTCAAACTGCTTCAGCAGAGTGGAAAAAATGTTTGTTCATTATTCATCTTACAGGATGAATTAAGTCAACTCAATGGTTAAATCAGTTCATGTATAAAAATACCTTATAGGCCGGATAAAGTCATTTCACTGGTTAATTCAGTTAACGTTTAAAAATCTATCAATGGCCCAAGAAACCTACTCCATACAAACCCCCTAAAACAATTTTTAAAAACCTACCATGTAATGAAAACAATTTTATTTCTTTGTGAGCCATCATCTAGTTTGAATATGTAGTCATACACTGCATACCGACACTGCTTGTCTTCTTCTGCTTTGAGAAGCTTCTCTAAAAATTGATCATATGTTGCATCTGGAATAATAATAATAATAATAAACAAGAAAATAAAAACGAAAAAGAAAAAAGGAAATGTATCTATTTTTGCAGAATGCCAACTTAGTCTTCTAATAGAATTGATGGCCAAATAGCATTTCATTCCAAGCTGTTATATTTTAGTGTGTAATCTCCACATTTGGTTCTACTTGCGGGAATATCCTATATTCTTTCTCCAAATTTGGATGTATATGTATGCAGATTCTTATATTGTAAGGTACAATTAATAATTATTTACAAAGTAATGACAACAAAAAAGAAAACTTTAAATACTAGAAAATTATAAATAAACCATCAAGTTACAAAAGGGTGACAATATTAGCACTACAAACCTTTGTCTCCATAGGATTCTATATCAATACATTTGTCATTCTGTTGGATACTAAAGATGATGTATCTGTGAAGATGACCCAATTTGAAATCATTTTCAAATATCGTGAAGACTTCTGGCTTACACGCCACACCAGACGACTGGAAAGACAAAAATGTAAATGTACACATAATATCCTCGTAAATCAGAACAAATTCTGTTAGAAAGATATAATTCAGAAGTCCACAGGGCATGCAAACAAACAGTGCCTATTATTTGTCAGCACAAAAATAAGTCGATTAATTGCTACATTGCTCCATCAAAGGGAACCAAACAAATAACAATACTAAATCAATCATGGGGAAAAACAAAAGGCATTTGCACAATGAACACTGCCAACTGTTTCTAAATGCATCAATTTTACAACTGATTATTTTTTTTTCTTTTCAGAAAAAATATTTGCAGACATTGCTTGTGCACAAACAGTGGTCAGTATGTTGAAAACTTTGGTGTAAAAGGGGATGTGATTACCACAAAAGTTGTGTACAGGGAAAACTGGTTAGTATTCAACTCTCTATGAACAACTGAACTATGTGGAACAGTTTGCAAATAGCAGATGCAAGGTACAGATAAAGCATTTGCCAAAGAGCAAATCTTGACATATTTCTGCTCTGGAAAATGCCTTATGTTTTTTCAACAAATCTGCTTATTATTATTATTATTTTTTTTTTGTTAATCAACAGACATAAATAGACAAATTAGAGTTGGGTTGGGGAAGAACTGCACTAATTGGTAATTAACAACAACGACCAATATCAGCAGTTTGACCCCCC